TTGGCGAAGGTCTAACACTTCTGGGTGATAGGTTGTTATATTAACCTGATTTTTTTGAAGTCTTTGTATAACAATTGCTATTTAGAATATAATATATGTATTTTCCTATGTGTTTTGATTCGACCATCTCCTGGTGTTCATGTATTTTGATTCGGCTTGTACCTTAATAACTATTAAGTAATTACTTAAGCCATGCAATAAATTAAATTTGTAGTTCTCTGCATCACGTATAATGTTTGTTAGTGATGCCATTTTTTTGGCGTATATACTTTGTTATTCTCGTTTGTAGGCACTATAAATTTCAGAACTTAGGAAAAAATTGTATGTGCTGTGCATTTTTTGTGTCTTTCCACATCCAAAATTGAAAAGTAGAACTGTACCGCTTCTTACTGCCTAATAAAAGGAATGTTATACTGGTTCTGTCTTCCAGAACGTTGCATGATATATTGGGAAAAGGGAGTTATCCACCTTATGTATTACTGGATGTCGCTTAAAGTTCTAGCATTTTTGTCTTTTTGTATTGTTGAAACAATGTTCCTTGTCTCTCATATTTCTCTACTTATGTGAATTATATATATATATACTAATGCAGTATTACTATGTTTGTTCTGATTTCTTAAGTGTTGTGTCAAAGTTCTTGATGTTTGCTATTTCCAGTACTCATGTTGTATTTGGGGATTATTTCCTGGCTCAGGTTTCCACTGATCAGTGAGGACGGTTGATGATGACAATTGAACGACTGAATCCGTCCACTGACAGAATTAAAGAGACCCGAAGAATTGTGCTGGAGGCAAAAGTACTTGGTGTGTCAATTCTTCAGGACACTCATCAACAATGGCAGTCACTACTGCATGCTCACACTACAGTACGTAGTCAGTCATAACTATTTTATAATAGTTTAGATATAGTTCCCTTAAATATTCTGCGAACCATCGTTGGCTGTATAGCTCTTCTGTTCATCATTACTTCCAGCCTGGTTGTTATCTATTGCAGTTCTGGTAGAGATCAGATTTCCATAGACCATCATATAAGTTCTAGGTTTGCTTTATTTCATGCAGGATCTGTTATGAAAATCCAGTGGTAGTGGTTATAGTTTATTAAATTATGTTAAGTGAAGTGTGGAAGTATCTCCACCTTGAAATTCTCATTTTATTCCTGTTTTCTCTACCATTACAAATTAATTGAATTTGACCAAGTTTATTGGAAGCCATCAACATCCTCAGCACAGAATTAATTTCATTAGATTTATATATACATGTTCTTGATAGTTTACTATACCTTCAGGAAGGTTGTTACAGTTTTCCTTTGTGGTGAGAGCATATTGTAACAGAAGCATATTGTTTTTTTACAGGTTTCCTTTGGTTGTGAGAGGCACATAGGAAGGTTGAGCTGCGGAGGTGAACTTGATGATTAAGAGGGTCTGTACAATGTTGTTTGTTGATGTAATCTAGTGTAATTGTTATTGAGGGCATGTGAAGTAATGTTGTATGTGTTTTTGGCACATTTTAGAAGGCCTTTACTTGCTGAAATTATTGAATAGAAATTTGTGAAATGGAAAAACTATGGACCCGTTGAATGAAAATTTGTTGTGCTGTGAAAGCTTTTTTATTATGTGTAATGTCTTGTGCCATAGCCGGTTGGATGAATATTATGGGCTGGATTGAAGAAATTCGGCTAAACTGCCACTAGAAAAATAGGGAATGGGCTTGGCTATGCAGGATGCCATGTCAGATCCACGCTGGTGCCACATAGATTCCATGTCAGGCCCATGTTAGTACAATGTAGGTCAATCCATGACGGATTAATCTGTCATGGAGGACTGGGCCTAGGCGGGCCTAGGGACTGATCGGTGGCGGACATGATCCGTCATGGTGGCACAGTTGGCAAATTATGACGCGATATACATGACGGATTCTAAATCCGTCATCGACCTCCCTCGTTGACGGTTTTGCACAGTTTCATGACAGATCGAATCCGTCATGTATGAACAAGATTCTTGTAGTGTCCTTCTCCGCCTGCGCCGACGCGCCCGAGCAGCCAGCCTCCTCCTTCTCCGCCTCGTCAGCAAGGGCGGAAGAGACCTGCCGCCGCTCCAGCTGCTCCGGCGCGTCGTAGTCCTTCTCCTCCGCCTCTTAAGCAAGTAAAGAAGACAACCGCTCCGTCTGCTCGGTCGGCGTCTAGCAGTACAACCAGAGGTGGGAGGACATACAGATTCGGTCCTTCTCTGAAGACTCCAGAGAAGTTACCATATGAGAGGACCCTGGAGGAGAACGCCGAGATCGCGCGAGAAGAAGTGAGGAACTTCTTTAAAGGGGTGAAAGCAAAGAAACATCCACCTCCGGAGGAGAAGGTAGATCGGGTGAAAGTGAAGCGCACTCTGGCTGCCCTGACAAAACAACCGAAGTCTGATCCGCCGAAAGGAAACTATGACCGCATTATTGGAAAGGAATTTGCCGAAGCGGAGCGGTCGGGAAGTACTGTCAGCGATCAAAGGCTGAAAGAACGACGAGCTGGGAAACAAATTGCCCAGCTCGGCGAACAAGCGAAGCAATCGTGCCCCCCGCTCAAGGTGCCTAGCCACAACGTCGCTAATGATCCGAGGATGGTGCCCGGTTATAGCAATCTTGCAGATTACCTGCCCGACGAAGTACATTATGAACCCATGGACATGCAGATACAAAGATACGAGTACGGGAAGCCTCTCGTCAAAGATGAAAGATCTCTATCAACGATGATGCGAAGATTGCATGATTGGTACTTGAAGATCTGCAGAGACTCTGGGTGGAGGAGTACTTTGTATGTGAAAGTTAAAAAGGAGCATGACCTCGTTGGAATTGATCTGTTGCCTGTTCCATTTGAGGAGTTCCATCAATTGGCCTCGATAAAACAACGGTCGCCTGCTACTGTCTGTAAGTAGTACTACTTCTGTCATTAAGTTTCTCTATATAGCTTAGCTCTTTCATTGCATGTATTTATAATCATCCTCACTATATTATGCGGATTGAAGATTGCCGAATTGAATAAAAGACAAGTCGGTGATATTGGGTTTATTAACACATATCTCATAGATGCAACTCAGGTTAAATTTCATGCCGCAGATACCGAGGCCAACTTGGTACGATCGTTGGTAATAAATCAAAACAAAGATATAATACTCTTTCCTTACAACTTCAAGTGAGTGTTACTGTCTTGTGCGTATTCGGTTTCCCTTATATATTAGTCAAGGTTATAGTAATGTAATTGATGAGTTATGCATGCGTGTGCAGTTTTCAATATATTCTCCTACATATTAAGCTTGAGCAGGGACTAGTAACCGTCTTAGACTCAAGACGAAAAAATCCCCAGGACTATGCAGACATGACTCAAATACTCGAGAAGTAAGTTAAATCGATCATTATCCACCATATCAGCAACTTTGTTCATTTCCTGATATATCAAGTAATTGTTTTCTTTCTCCGGCAGGGTTTGGAGAAAATTCACCAGAAAAGCTCCGGGACTGCCGAAGGAGCTGCAATTTAGACACCCGAAAGTAAGTACTATAGTAGCATTTTTAGCGCATCTACTAGTCATTCAAGCGCTAGTTTCATCAATACCATTTGACATTCTTGCTTATCAGTTTGATTAACCTCTATTTCTTGTAAAGTGGTTGTGGCAGGAACAAGGAAATGATTTCTGTGGATACTATGTTTGCGAGTCCATCCGCCACACGACCTGTGAGCGGGGCTACACTGAAGAACAATATGAAGTACGTAAATAACAACATTCACAATTTTATTTTATTACCATCATTTGTGTTGAGTTTCATTCATTCATATATATATGTATTGACCCCCTTCTTTAAATTAGATGTTTCGGAAGCGGGATGAACTCCTAGCACCAGCTCGCATGCGAGCAATTCAAGAGGAATTGGCGGCATTCTTTCTTGACCACGTGATCCCTGAAAACGGAGAATTCTATGTGGACCCTGAGTCTGTATGATTATATTTGTAAGAGATAATTATTGTATATATATGTAGCCGGTAGTGTCAATAGATATACGAGAACTTGTTGTTCGACCAATCTCTCGGAGAAAGAGAGGTGGTCGATATCACTTCTCTCTGTATGCATATATGTTCATCACGATCTTCTGTTTCCTTCGTTTGCTTACTAGCTAACCAGCGTGTCTACTCCTCTCTATACGTATGTATAGTACGTAGCGTCGACCAAGCACGAACATAAGAGAGGACACTTTTCTCTATTAATTATAGCTAGCTAACACAATATATGAAACACCTAAATTAACCCCCCAAAACCCCCAACCCCCCTCCCCCCTTTCAAAAAAAAAACAAAAACCCCAGCCACAGAAATGCTGAAGCGTGGATGCCTATTGGTCCCAATTGATGCCACCAACCGGGACCAAAGGGTCTCCTGACTGGGCTCTGCGCACTGCCCACGTGGAGGCCCATCAGTCCCGGTTCTGGATTGAACCGGGACTAAAGGGTTGGGGCACTAGTACCGACACTTTAGTCCCGGTTCAGGAACTGGGACTAAAGGCCCTTACGAACCGAGACTATAGTCCCTTTTTCTACCAGTTGTGGCACACCCGGATTGGCTCGCGCGTTGCCTATGGGTACCAGTACCACTCAATTTTCTGCTTTCGTGTCTCGTGCCGCTGTAGTTCCGCCAGCTAAATCGCGCTATTGTTCATATTTTAGAGATTGCGCGCTACTGTACATAAAAGTAGTATTCTATGTGGACATGATTGTTTAAACCTTGGTCCCCCAACAGTTACATATTCACACATTTATACTCAACTGAACAAATACCGTTGGTGATAAATATAGACTTAATACGGTGGATAGATGCGCGTCTAGCCCAATCGAATTTGGCAACAAGTACGTACGTACCTGTCAATTGACACATGAGCAAGTACACCATCAGTATAAATGTGGAGAAAAGGTGATCATTGGACAATTGATAATTCCTCTCTCTGATAAAGAAAGATACTCACACTGGTCCAACTAAGTCGACGAAGTGCCAGCCTCCTCATCGCTCGTCTTCTTCTTCTCCTCCTCCTCCTTTGATTTCTGAATAATAAAGCCATTTGACATGTATACCATCATAAGTGCAACGATTGTCATGAGGTCACCACCGCTTGTCAGGTTTTTGGCATGAGATTTCTCGTTACACGAGTAGGCCGTGTAGCATAACATCTCCACCCAAACCTCGAAGATCATCTCGAGGGTGCCATCAGCATTCGTACCTCTTCCTGCTCCCTCTATTGTGTGGATCAGCTTTGCGGCAAGCTTACATCCTTTGTCAAGTTGACTTACTGTGCGATACAAAGAGCAGGTATTTCTTGTGGTTTTAAGTGTTTGTCCTTCCATCAAGCGCTCCGTCTGGTAAGATATGGCCCTGAGCAGGTCGCGGACGTGGCATCTGCCCAGAAGAGTGATTGAATCATGGCACAGCTGGACATACCTCTGGCGGTTAACAGGGTAAGGCAACATGTAGGGACGGGAGGCCAGCAGAAAAAACATGTAATTGCAGAGAGCCTTTGTTGCCTTGCAAAGATCTGCTATTCTTTTTGGCTGCTTTGTTGTTGTCTGATGGACCTTCGTGCGGAACCACTCGAGGTAGACATGAGTGGCGATGTGCCACACGAGGATGCTCTCCTCCAGATCCAATCCCACGCTCCATGCTAGTTCCTCCCCAAATAAGAGGTTGCCTTTGTTTAGGGCATTCTGGCCACGTGATTTCCTGATGTCAATCTGACCAACTTTAGTTGTTGTCGACACTAGTTCCAACACCATGTTGATGATATCTTTTGGGACACGGGTGGACCAGGAGGAGAACCAGGAGTCCCACAGGCTCTCCATGCCAATAATTTCTGCCATTCTGCTGCCTGTACTGCCAATCTGAGATGGCACCTTAAACAAGTCATGTTGGCGCATGTGGCCCGACCAGTAGGATTTCCCTAGTACAAGTAGCTTCATTGGCCAAATGACGAACACCAGCTCAACGAGTTGAACTACACGGCCAAGCTTATACCATTTACGTTCATATAGCAGCGCGGCTGTCCACATGGAGAACACGGCCCTCAACACTGATACGGCCTCCAGGACGACTGCACCAGTGAGCAAAACCTTGGTGACAAGGACATCTAATCTTGTGTAACCATCTTTGTCACCCAGTGCATGGAACAACAGGAGTGCGACAACGGTGAAAAGCAGCGATATGGAACGGGCCAAGAAGCCGTACCAGGTGTGCACACCGTGGCCTTTGTGTACAAGAGGTCGTACGTACATCATCGTGAGCTGCATCGCCACCACCTTCAACATGAATTCTCCTTCATAACGCCTCCCATTTTTAATTTTCACAAAACGTGTTGGTCCCTCGAACATTTCCTTGGGGACGTCCAACAGTGAGTAAGCTCTGAATAGCCCCTCGTATATATCCCCCTGGCCTAGAGGTTTTTTGGACATAACTCTCTGGCCCACTACATCACTCCGCCTTGCGGGTTCTTCACGCAAAGCTTCCTCACCTGCCGTAAATAGGTTGCTACTGGTAAATCTGTCGGCACCCATGAGCGCCAACACTCTTTCGCCGTACTTGACAACCCCGACGACAAACATGAGGATGGCGGCCGAACGGAGCAAGGACGGGTGGGAGAGAATGGAAGACGCATACAACACGTAGCCAGCTGCTACGAGCTGCAGTCCAAAAGTCTGCAGGTGGCGTAGCCACAGCCGGTTGTCCTCGATGGCATAGGCGGTGATGTTGTCTTGCCCGCCAAGGTGCACCAGCAGCACTGGCGCCCACAGCGCCATAAGGTGGTGCTCGGGCAACCTGACGACCACCGACAGGTGACCCAGGGCATATATGGCCACTGTGTCGGCTAACATGTATGCTGACCAAATGATGACCTTTAGCACGGGCCAGTCTGCACGTCGACGAAGATCTGCCAAGAGCATAAGCGTGATCTGCACTGCGAAGCTCAGCACCACCATGAAGTGGATCCCGCGTCCACTCCAAAAGACCACTAGCGGCTCCAATCTAGGCGCCATTTGTAGTACTTCTCTGCCAAAACAGCATATGCCTTATAAAGAAGGGATCCCTATAAAGAATGTAGTACTGCAAACCTGAGACAAACCCTACTGCTCTATGGAGTTATGCTCTATAATCCATCGATATAGGCAGGTGCTTTAAGAAAAGAAAAAACGATTTCTTTAGGATTGTTGTCTCTAAAGAATTTTCTCTCTAACGAAATGTGATTGGTACTATCAACCTTAATTATAAATGAGGTGATATTAGGTCTCTAGTTGATCGACTTTGTTGTGGTCTTATAGTGCTGGTTGACACTATTACTTCTCATATTAAAATTGTTTCCCATCAAACTTTACAAATGTTGATCAAGTTTATATTAAAAAATATCAACATCCACAATGCCAAATAAATACATTCCATGATGGATCTAATGATATTGATTTGGTGTTGTAAAGGACTTTTTTGTTATACCCCTAAACTATTATTAACTGTACTCCTTGGCACTCCATGAGAAGGTTAAGGTTTATTGGTACTCCATTAAAAGTGCCAAGGAGTACTGCAACTAAATATCAAGGAGTACCTTGATTTCAAGAGTAAAATCGTACTCTCTCCATCCCATATTAATTGACGCTCAAACAGATGTATTGAGTGCGTATTAGATACATCCGTTTGAGCGCCAATTAAGCTAAGACAGAGGGAGTAACCGCGAAGAAGTTAACTACCATTAGAGATATAACAACAGACTGTGTTTATGTAGGTGGGTATTGAGGTGTTAAGCATGGTAGAGGCATAACTCCAGGTTTGGCTGCGGCTTTAGGCGTGAATGGTGATTCTCTCCCCCAAACAATCTCTCTAGATGGAGATTCTTCATTCAATTTTTCTCTTTTAGTACATGTTAATTATATATTCTCATCAATGGATGGGTGTTATCTTCCTAAATAAAAGATGTACTGCTTGTTTCTTCATTGCGTGATTTGGCACGGATTTCACGGTTTGCTCTCAGATCTGGCAACGATTGAACATGTCCGACACCATCGAGCTGTTATCCATGTCCTCCATCCGTCCTTGACACCATCGAGCAGCTCTGGCAAACGTGACCGAGGATCCATCGGGGTGTGACCAAACATACGCAGTTCCAGTGTGGTGGTGGCAGGCCTCAACTATGGCAAATCAGCCAGTTAGTGTAACGCCATAGTTATGTGTGTCGCCGTCGTAATTTATATGTATATGTCTTTTTGTACCTTTATACGCATATGTTGATGATATAGTATTCTATGGTTTGCTGGTAGGAAAAAGATGGTTAAAAACCTAAAATACATCCACCATATGAACGGCTAGATTTAAGAGCGTCTCTTCTTTTCTTTTCTTTTTTTATGTGTGGATTTAAGAGCATCTCTTCTTTTCTTTTCTTTTTTTGCGTGTGGATTTAAGAGCATCCCTTCTTTTCTTTTCTTTTTTTGCGTGTGGATTTAAGAGCATCACTTCTTTTCTTTTCTTTTTTGCGTGGGGATTTAAGAGCATCTCTAGCCTACCCCTTGTATTAAAGTGCCAACAACTGCTCCATATCCGAAAACTTTCATAGCTATCCCTCTTCTTCTTCCGTGTTTGGCATGGTTTGCACTCGTCACTAGAGGATGAAGTGATTGTCAACTACCCACACACCTCTGACCGTCACTCTGGCAAAAGGAAATGCATGTTTCTACTCCCTTATTAATTTTTTAGAGAAATAACTTTTTCGCAATTAGCAGAGCGCCTATAATTTTGTTCCCTAAAAAGGTTAAACATAATTTTAGACACAAATTCATTTCATAAACGTATTTAAACTACATTGGTGCATCATGAAACTATGAAAATACATTGTACCAATCTAGAATAGTTAATTTACCTAATACATACAACATATAGATAAATTGTCGAACACTACATTCATTGCTGTTGGTCATTTGGTGCCAGAGGAACCAACCTCGTCGTTGTTGTTGGCCGACCTAACACACACGCTTTCCAATGAAGCGAAGATCGTGTGGTTATAGCCCATGATCTCCGGAATCGAGGTGAGTGCATGGATGTATAAGGCATTGGCTGCCTCGGCCTGGAGAACGGATTAGCGGCGGCGCTGCTCCTGGCTGGACGAAAACCTCAAAGCTTCCTAGCATAATGAGCGCTCGATAATTCAACTGGTTTCGGCTCATGCTCGTTAGTTTGTTAGTTAATGAATCAAACCGAATGGTGTTTTTTACTTGTTAAGATTAACGAGCGAGCAAATGAGTTTCACGAGCTAACTCGTTTAGCTCGGTAATTTTTAAAAGTTTGACACGAGATCCCTAATTCAAATCAGCCCACTAAGAGCATCTCTAGCAGACCCCGCATAACGCGAAACTGTAAACGCAGTTTACAGTTCGCACGGGGTGGTAATGCAGGCTCAAAATCGCAGCGGCAGAACAGAACCTGTATCCAAATCCGTAAATTTTTAAAAACTAGTTTTGCGCAAGAAATTGAAGCAAAAGCTCGCCGGAGCTCGCTAGCATAGATAGTTCTTGTTCATATCAGTTCGTAGAGAACATTCATATATTACATATAAGTTCGGGGGAGCTTAACCCGGCCTACACTACCGTACCAGTACACAAAATTGAGATTATCGGAGCTCGTGCGGTAGCTGACCAGCGGCGGCACTCATTTGGAGTCGGAGGAGTCGAGGTCGATGTAGAGCTTCGCCTGCTCCGCCTTCATCAGTCGCAGGTCAGCCTCCTTGGACGCGTGTGCCTCCGACGCGGCGACGCCCGTCTGGAGGAGGAGACACTCGCACTCAAGCTTGCGGCGGATGTGCTCTTCCAGCTCCTGCTGCTCCCTCGCCGACCGCTCAAGGACGACGCGCTCGAGGTGCTCCTCCTGCCCAGGGGAGGTAATCCTTGGGCCCGATCACGGCTAGGCGCGGCGGCGCATCAGGCTTTACGGCACACAGCGCGAGCTCCTCCTCCGACTCCCTCTTCACCGGAATGAGCCGCGAGCTCGGTGCGCCCGCGGATACTGAGCTCCCTGCGGACCAGGAGCCGAAGGAGGCGTGGCGGCAGCGGGTGAGCTCGCGATCGAACTCGTCCAGCTCGCGGCGGTCGAACGCCGGCGGCGGCCGGCTACCGCAGTTGAGCCACCGACGCGTCCCCCGCTTGCACAAGGCGTCAGATCTGGCGCGGCGGCGGCGCTCTGCCTCATCCCCGGAACTACCATAGCCGTCCATGGCTTTGGAAGGCTCGTCGGCGGCGAGAAATCGAGCGGGGCGATGGGCAATCGGGGGAGATATGCGGCGGCGGGGGGCTGCGGGGCGATAGGGTTTCGACCTGCATCTGCCTCGCCAACCCGTAGTTATACGGCTTCGGGGGTAACGAATGCGGGCCGCGGTAAAAAATATTTACCGGCAGGGCGAGTATACGGGCTCTATTCTGGCCAGAAATTTGGGCCGAGCACATATACTCACCGGAATTATGTGGTTTCGCGCTTTTTGCGGGGTCTACTAGAGATGCTCTAACAAAAGAGTTGCTATTTAGCCCAGCCCAGGTGCCTAGCGACCCAGCCCACTTTGGTAGTTCTCCTGGACCTAGGACCTAGTCGCCAGAAGACCCTAAAGTCAACCAGGAGCCAGCCACCAAGAACCAAACGTCTTTATTTAATTTAGGCCGTGTTGAATTTTTGATGGGATCATGGCATTCTTCTGTGTTATTTATTACCTTAATGTCCTTGTTTAATTTATTCTATTGTGATTTTTTTATTATATCATCATATTCTTCTTTGTTGTTTATTACATATCATCATAACATCTCTGAGCCGCTAAACCCTAACCCTTATTTAAATGTGAGGTAAGGATGGCAATTTTACCCACGGGTACGGGTACCCGCGGGTACCGTACCCGCATGGGCAAGGTATGGGCAGACTTTTATACCCATGGGTAGTATCCATACCCTGCCCGTTAAGTCGTGGGTAGGGTACGGGTATAGCCTTGTGCTCGCGGGTATACCCCCACCCTGCCCACTTGTCAACTAATGTTAAATTGTCGTCAATTAGTCATTAATTTGTCATGTGACTCATCTACGTCTATTGACTTATGAGTATGTTGTGATTTCTATATTTGGAGAGTGGTCACTCATTTGCCTTATTATTGAGGTAAGATAAATGATTTTTTTTGTCAAATGTGCTATCAATGAGTGTAGAATTGTGAACATATTGTGTACTATTTCTTCTACCTGCTGGGTACCCAATGGGTGCGGGTACCTATCGGGTATGGGTATGGGTAAAGTTTCATAACCATGGATACGGGTATGGGGAGAATTTTATACTCACTGACTATACGGGTATGGGTATGGTATTGCTCTACCCTGCCCATATCCTACCCATTGCCAAAGAATGGTTGGAGAGTACTAATGAATGTAAGTTGAATCAGTACTACCTCCATTGCATAATACATGTCGTGGTTTCAGTTAAAATTTTGACTAAAATGGCCACAAATATTATGGAACGGAAGAAGTATTTGCATATATGGGTGCTTTCCTATCATAGCCTTAAGTTCAGCGGCTCAGAGATGTTATGCTATCTTTTCAGTTTTGTCATGCCGATTTTTACGTAACTTGTAATTTGATTTTTATGATATAAATAAGACATGTTTTACCACGCAAAAAAAAAGTTCAGGGGCAACTCCGTATCATGCCTCCTCTCTGTAAAAACTAATACAATTATAAAGATGCATGCTGATGGCAACACTTAAACAAAACCGAGTTTACCTTGAATCAACCGTATAGATGAGATGAGAGACGGACAGATCTCCCTTGCCTTGGTCCTTGCTCTCTTCTCTCACTAGTAGTAGCAATAGTATTGGGGATGGTGAGCAGGGAGCAAGCGAGACCCTTAAAGCGTTGCACACCCGGCGAGTGAGCTATATATATCCGACAGTCCTCCTAGTACAACCATTGCTTGTTTGCCGGATGGTGTGACAGGTCGCTAGCCATCTGCCTCACTAGCGCTGGGGACTGGTGGA